TTTGTCTTCACATATCAAATATATAAGAAGAGCCGAGACTTAAAAAAAATTCTTGATAAAGATTTAATAATAATTGAAAAATTCCAAAAAATATTTTATATTTTTAAAAGTTTTTGGAATCTTCCAATTCATGTAGTCTAGATCTTCTTAGGATCCATCATTAATATTTTTTTGGAAATGATGTATCCTAAGAAATTAACTTGAATAGTGTGAAATATATACTTTTTTATCTTGGGATATAATTTTACATTTCTAAGTTTTTGTAATACACAACAAACATAAAATTCATGTTCTTTTGTATTCTTAGAATAATTTAGAAAATCATCTAAATAATAGACAATAAAATCATCAAGAAATTCATAAAAGAAATCATTTGTGAGATGTTGAAAAGTAGCTGATGCATTTGTGAGTCTAAAACACATGAAATTATATTCAAAATGTCCATACCTAGTTCAAAAAGAAATCTTCCAATCATCTCCTTTTTTGATGCAAACCAAGTTGTATGCTCTTTGTAGATCTATTTTTATGTAGATCTTTGCTTAATTAACTTAGTTAAGAAGTTTTGAAATCAAAGCTAAGTGTTACCTATTCTTGATAGTGATCTTATTAAATCCTTAATAGTCTATGCACATCCACAAAGATCCACTTTTTTTCTTCACAAATAAGATAGGAGCTCCTACTAGAAATTTTGAATGACTTATGAAGTTCTTAGCTATGTTCTTATCAATGTATTCTTTTAGTACAACAAATTTATTTTTTGATAAGATGTAGATTAATTTGAATGGTGATTGAATTCTTTCTTATAGATCAATTGAACAATCATAGGATCAATGCTTAAAAAGAATATCTATATTTTTCTCTTCAAAAACATCTTAAAATTTTAATACTTGCTAGAAATACCACTTAGCATCTTTTCAACATAAAAAATGAGTGTGGCATATATAGCAAAAGATGATCCTTCTTTTGCCACATGAATAAAAGCTTTTGTACCTACTAATAAAGATTTGGATGTATTAAGCTTATCTATTTCTACTTCACAATTAAAATTTTGGACTTAACTACAAGAATAGTAAAAGTTATAAAAAATCCAATCTATGTGAGGATTATATTTTTCTAACTATGATAATCCTAAAATAATTGAATACAAAGAAAATATTATTAAATAAAATATTACTACACTAATATGATCTTTAATTATTACATCTAAAAGAATAGTCTCATGAATAATATTGTTGTATTATGTATATTCTTGCTTGAGAATACATTTGGTGCTTACTTGTGGAAGGTAAGTAGAAATGCAAAAATAATCCTATCAAATCTAATAGAATCTTAAATAACTTTAAGTAGGCCTTAATAATCTACATTTATTTTTGATAAATTCAAAATAAATTTAAAAGAAATTATAAAAGAAATACAAAGAAGTTCCACACTAATTTCAAAGAAAAATAATTAGAAATCTTAAAGAAATATAAAAATAAACCTTTAAAGAAATAACAATAATCTTAAAAAAATATCAAAAGTAGAAATCTTAATGTAATCTTAATTAAAATCCTAATTAAATCTTAATCAAATCTTAGTTCAAATCTTAATTGAAATCTGAATTGAACATTAAGCAAATCCTATGTCAAATCCTAACAAAATCTTAATAAAATCCTAAATCCTTAACAAATCGAAGACAAACTTTAATCAATTCTTAATCAAGTTTTAAACCAAACATCAAGAAATTCCTAATTCTAATCAAATCTTAGACCAAATTCTAAATCAAATCCTAATCAAACTCTAGATCTTAAATAAATTCTTAATAAATCCTATAGCAAAATTAGAACCCCAACAACTAATGATTGAAGTATTGATATCAACTCAAAATTTGCATACTTCTTAATATCTAAGTAAGAAACAAACACAGGAAAGATAAAATTGATTGCACTGATCATTTGAGAGAAATACAAGATAATCCAATCTAGTATTAAATGGCATCCTACTTCACTTTAAATATTGAACTTCCAATGCCAATATTTCCTTTTTGAACCATTGAATTCCTTCCAAATTTTATCTGAAATATTAAAAATTGAATCTAGTATCTATACAAAAAAAACCTACTTCAATCCAATTGATAAATTTTGGAAGATCTTAAAAATACTCACTGATCTTTAAACTCCAATTTTTGAAACCTCAACCCACAAAAATCTTTACATACTTTGATCTAACTATTTGATTGACTTCAAAATTTGCACACATATTTACAACCAAAATACCAAAATATTACCTAAAATTCACCTATATTCACTCCATAGTACTCAAGAAATCCTCAAATTTATAAATAAATTTATATTTTTAAAAATCTAAATTGACTTTTAAATCTAAATCTTTTAAATCTTATTCTTCAATCTATAAAAAAACTCTAGAGTCACTATAGGTGCGTGGTTTTGTGCCTTAGGATCTGATTTCAACTTAGGTTGACAATCGATCCTCTCCAAATATCAATTTTTAGATTCTTGAAGTAAATTTTGCTAAAATCTATTCTTAACTCCTTCTTACACATGCCTACATCATTTTTTATTTCATTTACTTTGACTTGGCTCATTTATGCCTCTATACAATAAGTTTCTTCTATAAAAAGATAATATTAAGACTAAATCTTTTACTACCTTTCTATCATTTATTCTTATTTTTTTGCTACATTTTATTTTTAGGTTCTTCTATAATAACATCTATAGTTTTATTTTTTACTATATAGTCATATTACTACATGACAACGTCTCCAAAAGACAACAAATGACTATCTATAACTTCTATATGTAAGAATTTAGTTTTCTTGACTAAAAATATTTCTTATTTCTTAACAAAGTCTTTGTTCTATAAAATAAGCTTAGGCTCTTAAATCTAATAATGCAAAGACTTTGTGATTTTTAGGTCCTAAATACACATCTATTATAAAATAAAGTAAAAGATTTAAAATGAGAATAGGATCTTTACTAGGTATTGCATATGATTCTAGCCACATGGTTCCTATTGTAGCTAAAAAAACTTGTCTTCTTTAGTAATTGTGCTCTTCATTTTGTGATTGTGTTGTTTTTTTGGAAAATTTTGAAAAATCAGCTTAGCTTCTTTATAATATAAGTACAAATCTTCTTAATAATATTGAGTCTTTCTTTTCTCTATGAAGAATTTAAAATATACTATATCAATTTGCATTGGTTTCAACCATACTAAATAAGTTTCTAAAAACTTAGGAGCTACTATCATTACTTGGCTTGTTCCTCTCCAATTAAGTCTTTGTTCTTAATGCCTTTTAAATAATTGATTTTTGCATGCAATGGCTCGAGCAATAAATTATTCCAACGATTCTACTTTTGGCATTGTCAATAACAAATCTTTGAAGTTATCCTTTAATCTATATCAAAATTGATTGATAATGGCTTTATCATTCTAGTCCATGTTGTAAGTGAGGTTTTGAAATTCAATAGCATATATGATAGCTGATTGTGATTTTTATTGTAACAATAAGAGCTTGGGCTCTGCTATTCTTTCTTAATCACTATCTTTGAATATTGCTATAAATACTTATATGAATGAATTCAAATAATAAAAGAATCATGAATTCTTTTTCATTAACAATACAAATCAAGAGCAATCACCTCAAGATACAAGTGTACCTATAAATCTAACTTGATTAAATCCATCAAGATATTGGAAGAAATGCAACCTTAGATAGAACTTGATATGTTGTAAAAATCTTCAAAATTTTGATCTTGTTCCATCAAACTTGTTAGATATACTAATCCATATCCCCATTGTACATGTAGAAGCAAAAATTCTTAGATTTGGTTGTAAGATCGATCTACTTACTTCCTTCAATTGTACAACTTTTTGATATAGATTTTGAACTTCTTCCGTAGGCATAGGATTAGTATTTCCGTGGTTTGCATTCGTGATGCATGAAATTTCTACTCTAAAAGTGTTGACAAAATTGTGAAGATTTGCAATAGTTGCAAATCTATTCTCACTTCCACCAAGTGTAGCATCTATGATTTTTCCTTCTATTTCAAACAATTCAACAAATTCAAAAGTCAAATTAAAGAAGAATAATCTACAATTTTTAATATTGAATGAAAATTTCCACAAAGAGGGATAATCTATTCTCTTTAAAAAAAAAATTAGTATTAGAAAACTAAACAATTTATTTAAAGGTGGATAATCTACAACCTTCAAAACAAAACAATAGAAGTAGGATAATCACCTCACTTTTAAAACAAGATAAGAACAATAAGTTAGCACTCTTATTAAACTATCAAAGACATGAATCTCAAAGAAATAAATCCTTAATACACTCTTGTGTCACTCAAAAAGACTAAAAAATTACTAAAGAGGATAGTATATTTAATTAAAATGGCTATTGTCAAAGAGAAGAAGACTAGAAAGTCTTGAAAGAAGACTAAGAACTAGAAAGACATTGACAAGAATAAAGAAGGCTTTACTCTTACTTCCATATATACTCTTAACTAGGAGCTATGTCGAAATGTCCTATAGGACCTTCAATACATGTTGACTTTGCAAAACACATATCTTAACTTATAAGGCAAGTTTTCTATATGTGCACCACATAATTAGCTTGTTCCATATGAGCTAAAATAAACCTCAACTAGTTAGAAGTTTATTCTAGTTCAAAATAAGTGAATTAACTTTGTGAATTTTAGTAATTATAGCTATTAATTAAAGTCTAATCAAACCACTTTTTATTCTTCTTAAATAATCCAAGCAATCAAGCCAAAACTCTACAACTAATTTACCTTCACAATAATAAATCATTCAACCATTTAATGCTATAAAAATTTCTTTTTTTTGTCATTTTTATTTATTATTAATTAATTGATATATTTATTTATTATTATTATTATTATTATTACTTTATTTAATTTTAATCAAAGTTCATCCATTAACAAAAACTTATCCATGAATGAAATTAATTCTTGAATAATATTTCATCCATATACTTCATCTATGTTTAAAAATTTATCCTTTATTACAACTTCATCCAAATTGACTCGTCTACATCCTAAATTATTTAAACCCTAACTCAGCCCTAATACACGATCCTATCTACTCACAAAATTTGGGTGATGCTTATTGGAAATGGCAATCTAGTCGAGAGTCTTGAATCCAGGCAGCTCGATGCTGGCAGGCAATGGAATGCATCTTCGGCGCTTCAATTAGCGAAATACCTAAATCTTCTTTAAGAATTATTTCAATATAAGTGTAGGCCCTTGTATTGGACTACTCATCTACCTCTCTAATTCGAACCATGTCTCAACTCCTCCAAACCCAACAAAGCTTCTTTGGTGTCGAAACCGAGTCGACAGACTGGGCTACTGTAGTTGAAGAACTCTGTCGAGCATAGCAGCTTATTAAAAACAACAACACACGATCTACGAGAGTAGCTCCTTGAGGCCACACTAATCCAAAATCAATTCCTCCATCATAGCTTGTGGCTCGGCTATCACTGGGGACTCATCTTCTACTGCATATAAAATTCCATGTACAGCCTTTATAACCGGAATGTAGCTTAACTCTTGAACTTGACACATAATCTTGATGTCACGCAGCCTCGTGGAGTAAAATTGCACTTCTCCAGATTCGACACCAACAGCTTCAGTCTGCGACCTACTTCACATAAAAATTCGACAAAAAAATACACTCTACCTTGGATCAGAATCTAGATAGCGCTAAACTCACTCGTTGTTGAGTCCACCTTAGACTCGCCCACCAATCTCATTGTCTAATCGCACAATGGGAGCTGAAGGAAGGAATCCGCGACTCAGTTTGTGGAGCCGCCAGCAACGGAACACGAAGCGGCTAAGCAAGGAAAAAAAAACCAAAACTGAGAGGTTGATCGCCACAGCACCACTCCACTGCAAACACTAGAACCTCCGGCCGCTCCTCTGTCAATACAATTGTCGATTCGAGATCAGCAATATGAGAACAACATCCATCGCAGCTACGCATAGTGTCAAAAATTCTTGAGCTCCAACATCCACCGCAATGGAATTCACAAGCAACGCTTAGCAAAATGAAAGAAAAAGCGAAGCCGAGCCGAGCCGAGCCTCCGTTGCAACACAGACCAGCAATCTCACACAGCAAGGAAGGAAAAATAAAAATAGCTTCTCTGAATTCCACTGCAGCACCGCTATAGTAACACACCTAGACGTGAAAGAACAATGCAGGAAAGGACCCCTGGAACGGAGCAAATACACCCTACAGAAGAACAAAAAAACCAAAAAAAACAGCAGCAGCACTCCAGAGCGCTGGAGCCACACCAACCCCACAGCAACACACGCACGTCGGAGGAACAAAGAAAATCCAAGAAAAAAACAAACGTCTCGATCCGAGTCGGCTGCCGTATCACTACAAAAAAAGAAAAAAGAAATATGAGAGGGGAACCCGGGCGGCCAGACCCCTATCGACGAAGAGGCTGCCGCCGTTCAGGGGCAGCGTCTCACCTTTGATGATCATCTTTCTATATATATATATATATATTTTTTTTTTTCTTCTCTGTTCTTTTTTTTATTCTTTTGATCTTTTTATTTTATTTTATTTTTATATACATTGTTTTTTAATATATATATATATATATATATATAAATCTTATGAACTATTAATAAAAAAGTTTTTTTTTTTTTTTTTTTTTTTTTTTTTTCCTTTTGACAATGAGGACTACTCCTATTGGCCATCATCTAATATTAATTATAAAAAACTTATTCATCATAGAAATTTGTCTTAATAAATTCTACCTTAAGCTGCATATCCGCTATGAGCAATCTATTTTCTATTTTTTCTCAAAAATTCTAATGCCAACTCACAAAATCTATGATTTTAAGCACAATAAGTATATTTTTTATACTAAATACCCAAATGAGTCAATTCAGTGACTTATATTCAGCGAGCTACCAACACATGGTTAATTTGTTGACCAAGTTTCTAACCTATCAATCAACTACAAACACATTTAAAGTCAAAGCAACATTCAAGAAGCTTCTCTATAAAATATTATGAAATAGATCTACTTTTACCTACTTCTACTTAATCATATAGGTAAATATTAGAATAAGTATGTATGTCTATGATAAAAGGTTAGCTTGAATATTAATTATTATACAATCTGATTGAATCATAGTTATTGTAAGTAAACGAGGCTCTTTTGTACTTATCATTGTTACTCTGCCTTGGCATTGGTTTTATTGATTCTAATATTTTGTCTACTTTTGTCACATATGAATGCAATCTTTTATTTTATGATTCCCTCCATATTCAAAACAAGGACCTATTTGCATAGATTTGTATTTGATTGGCCATTGCATCTTAGATGAAATGTATTGTATTTTATTTTATCTACTAACTCTATGATTGTTGTTGTTGGCTTACCATGAGTATTTGTTAGTCAATTATTAGGATTGGCAAGATCTCACTAATATTCTTCCAAATGAAAATTTTGATATAATTCGCTTGTTATCTTAGTACTACTAAGGTTTATATGTTTCAATTCTCATGTGAATGCCAATGTGCATTTAATCCTAAGAGCAACTTTCATTATTTTTTCTATGCTCTTTGATTGCATGTACATCATATCTTGCTTAATATTAGGTATAGTTCTTAATTAAACCATAAAGTTTGAATGAAATATACAAGAATATTATTAAGCTTTTTTACAAGAGCTTCAATTTAATCTAGATAATTCTTTACTACATTATAGTTGGTTTATTTGATCTTTTGTAATCTAAATATAATATTATTGTTAATTTTTATGTATCTAAATCTCTTTATAAAACTTAGTTCAAAGCCCTACTATGTGGCCTTAGGATGTCTTTGCTTATATGATAGAAATCATATCATGTTTGCTTCCTTAAGAACTGTTTTAAATATTTTTTTTAATATTTTTAGTATTAAGATTCTATTACTCATAGATACAATTAGATAGGCTTTCATATGTTTGTCTAGATTATCAATACAATCAAAGACTGAAAATTTGAAGTTGAGATTCTTTGAGCGTACTACCACCATTAGGGCTAAGACGGACATTATTAAGGTTTTAGTTATTGGTATCAGAATTACTGATGGACTTTCAGGTAGAATCTTGTTGTATATATTGTTTGCAATTTCAAGATGCTTATCAATTTGTGGTGCTTAGGATCCAAGTTGTGAAGTAATAATTATCTCTGTGAGCTCATTGTAGCATTGAAATTTTTTCCACAAAGCAATCTACATACAATCCTCTATTGTCATTGTAAATTCTTGTAATTAAATTTGCAAATCTTTAGTTTCTTGAAGAATAATGACAATGGCGGCTTCTCTCAAGTTTTGATTATACTCACTTAGTTCAAAATGGTTGAAAGAGATCTTTTGGTGTTCTTTCTTATTTTGGTTCTTTAATTTATTTTCCTTATGGATCTTACTTTTAGAGATTTGCCATGTAATGTTTTTCAACATGATTGCCAAATATTCCTTGAGCTATTGAAATAATAAGAATGCATAAGATAAAGTTCTATAAAGAATTTAGAACTAATAATACTTATACTAATTACCAATAATGAACTTAATTTATTCCATGTGCTCAAAATACATAGTCTTTGATCTAGCACAACTCTAATTCAAGTTGACTTTGTCTACTACTAGCCTACATTCTACAATGGTTCACAACTACTAACTCAATGACTAATACATCTTTTAAGTACTCTACCTTCTATAGTGTAAGCTCAAGCTATCCTTTTGAGTTTAGTGACAATACTATAAGTGTCTCTTTTATCTTCTGTCAACTATTGTTCTAATGCTTCTTTTGATCTTATGATGTTTTTGATAAGTAACATGTCCTCTGCTCTTCCTTTTCATATTGGCTACAATGTTGCAGAATGCTCATACTTTGCTTGTATTAATCTCTGCCCAACTGTTGGTTAATGATCTTGCTCTGCTTGCAATACCTCTACCTAACAATTGAGAGATTACCATGTGTTCTTCCTCATACATGCTTCAGCCTTGTACATGCGACAATTATGTATTGACATTTGTATGGCCTTTTGCTTGTCCATTGTAAGTTGCACATCTTTTTTATGGCTCTCTGGTTGTCCTATGCATGTTTCCAATCTTGTTGGAAGTTTTTGGTTTTAGAATTTTTTTAATCTTTGTATTCTAATTTCTAAAGATTAAAGTTTAGAAAATATTATAATGTAGGATCTTAATACCAAACATTTCTCCTTGTCTTATGACAATTTTTACCTAAGAATTGCAACATTGCTCTCAACTCCTTTTCATGCCAATTTAAGTCCCTCCTACACCACAAGCACATTTAAAATTTGTGCAAATATTTGCTTTTCCTATGCACATTGTAAATCTTATTTTAAAATTTTAGTTGCCCTATATGCATAGCCAATCTTGTTTGAAGTTTTATTTTTAAGTTTTATTTTGGTATTTATATTTTGATTTCTAAAGATTAGAGTGTAGAAAATATCAAAGTATAGGATCTTGTTACTTAGCACTCTACCTTTGTTAGTAACACCCTTCATCTTACAAGTACAAGATTGTCCTTTGTTCCTCCTCAGGCTTGCTTCAGCCCCATTCTTACTATAGTTGTGTCTACATGTTGTGCGGACCTTTGCTTGTCATATAAATCTTGTCAAACTTGTTGGAAGATTTTAGTTTTATGCTTCTTTGATCTTTATATTTTGGTTATAATAAGTAAAGTATAATAATAGTGGCAAATTTGTTACCAATGAGAGAGTTGAAGTTGTTGAAGTTTTGTTAAAATTAAAATTCTTCATTTCTTGAGATTGTATTGTACTTGCAATTTTGGTTGTAAAAGACTTCATTTATATTCTAATTAAATCTTTATTTTTTATTTTGTACTTATGAATTTATTTTAATGTGATTACATATAAACTTGTTGATATGAAGTATTGCCTTTTTTTTCTTTATGTTCAACTGAAATTGTTGGAATGACAACCTATCCATGTTGGACAACCACCATAATTATATCTAACATTTGAACCCGCTGCCTTACAATATTGTTGTTATGTGGTTCTCAAAATTATCCACAATTACAATCATCATATGATTGGCACACGCCCTTGCCTAATCTGCCCTAGTTGGGATTGAAATCTAAAAAACATCATAACTAATTCCAAAAGAATACTTTTCTAAAAAACATTAGGAGAGCTTAAACTTCATAAGATTTCCCATTTTAAAAAAAACATTGATAAAAATACTGAAGTTTGATACTTCATGTAGAATGCTCAAAACAACCAAAAGCTATTTTGGCTTTTAAAGAGATTTACAGAATAAAAATAGTTACATTTTGATTACTAAAAATATTTGAGGCTTAGATATATTTTCAATTTTACGTCATGCCTTTACCTAAGGAAGAGTTAATTACTATGTACACATTACCTCTTGTTGGTTACCTGAAAATTTGTAAAATATAACCACCATCTGAAAAAGTCTTTTGTACAGGTCTTATCAACCTTCATACTGATGTTGGGCATGTGATCATTGACAATAAGTGTAACACCATCCACAAAAACCTCTTAACCATCAGTCACTAACAACATTATTTCAAAAAGAACCTGCTAAAACTTGGAGATAGAGTAAAATGTTCTGTAATTAGTATGGTGCCAAAAACTCAATGTGAAATTATCCAAGAGCTTCTGCTGTACACATAGTATACACAATACATATACATTACAAAAGATTATCCTTAAATCAACACTAAAAACTAGAAATCTAATTAAAGTGAAAAATGCATATCTACCTCACACTCATTAAGAATAAAAAGCAAAAGTAAATAAACAAATCACAAAATCAAATAATCTTAAAAAACCCTTCTGCATGGTTTATTCTTTCGAATTTGTGCATAGAAACCATCATCATCATCAAACACGTAACTGGCTACTATCGTTTCTTCGTTTCATCGTTTCATGTATACACAGCTCTATTGAGAGCAGCATCGTCCGAAGAAAGACAAATCTAGAGATGAAGTCAATGCCAAATTTTATCTTCTTCTTCTTCTAGAGAAGACGATGCTACAATTTTCTCAGTCTATGAGGCAGAAGCTCGTAGCCGATGCGTTGCTTCAGACACAAAAAAACAAGAAGCTATGGCGAAAGCACTGGCTGTCAATTGGAACACACTACAACACTGCCCAGCTCTGATCGATGAAATGCATCATGTTGAGATCCAGGACCTGCTGAACGAAGCTCTTGCTTTATCAGAAATCGTTGTGTACTGGGCTTGCTCTTGCAATGATCTGATTCATCAGCATGTGGGATACCGAAACTCATTTCACGTTGCAGGCGAGAGTAGCATCATCATCAACTGCCCTCGTCCTCCCAGATGCTATCCTTAGATTTGAGGGCTTGATCTTGAACGACTTCGCTGTCGCATGACCCTTTGGCCTTTTTCAGAACCGGTTTTACGTCGATATTTTGAAGTTCGGCGGCGAATGGCTCCTTCTCAAACACCACGAACGGGCTCACTGCCTTCTTCGCCGCGACCCGGTAATTCTTGTTGTATCCGCCTCGTCCAAATTCTCGGCCAGATCCCCGATCCGAGCTTGAGTGGGCGTTCATAATTATCTTCTGTTTTTTGTTGCCTGCAGCTGGGGTAGGATTGCTGAGGGAAAAACTCGCGGGTTTGATGTATCGTTCAATTTTGCGAACCCCCGCAGCGTCGCCATACTTCATCAGGAGAGGCCCTGTTTGGTTGTGAGCGAATTCTATGACTCCTTCCAGCATCAAATCCCTTCTGAACGCGAATGTGAGGTGGCTCTTGACAGCGACCTTCCCCGACGATGAAATCCAGATCCAGAATGCTGCCAGCTTGGATGTGAGCGTCGGGTACTCATCTCCGAAAAACAATTCCAACCTGTTGATCATGAACCACATTGCGTGGTCCCACCAGATGACGCTTCCATCGCAGCCCCCGTCGTTAGCTGCTTGAGAGTTGCACGAGCACCTCAAATACGGCCGGCCGCAGTTCCAGAATTCAGCTAGATGCTTCTCTCGGCGAAATTCGCCGGTCGGAAGATCTTGTTTCGTGTGCAGCTTCACCGATGGTCTTGAACACTTGCTTTGGTCGAAGATGCTGAGAGGAAACGCATGTGGTAGAAGAACGGGATCCCTGATCTGCCCCGTATTGTTGAGAGCGTGAATTCGGCACGCTTCCACTTCTTGGCTCGTCAATCTGCTCCATGACTGCCACATGTGGACTGTAATTGGGGCCAAGAGGCTCATACAAGGTAGGTTCCAAGCCTTATGGCCCCGAAACATTAAGGAGTGCTCAACTGATCTGGGTGGAGCCAGGGGTATTGTCAACCTTTTACCCGACTTTCGACGCAGAAGGCTTCTTACATCGCACGAAGAAGCTAGAAGCGCTTCTTTGAAATGCTCCAAAGCGGCTTGTTCATCAGGGGTCAGCCTAATTTTGGCAAGAAGGGGATGATTATCATCTGCACTTGAGATATCTTCCAATTTACTAGAGAATGCAGCACCAGTCCCACCCGAATTCGCGTGTTGCAGTACCCTCTCGAGAAGAGGGACACTCTTGTCAGCAGCCTTCACATCCAGGATGTCCTTCTCGAGAATCTCTGCCAGCTTGGAGTGAGCCGATCGTAATCTCGCAAGACCATTCTCCGGGTTATTCCCTGCTATGACGAGCAGATGGGTCCAATCGGATAGGTCTAAAGTAGTGAGTAACAAAGGCGCACTATTGCCCTCGTCATCAATATCTGCTAGAGCAAAAAGGTCTTGCTCTTGAATGAAATGATGAAGCCTTGATTCTTTCATTGCACAGATTACGACCTGGACCGCTGGAATAGGAGCTGGAAGAGGCTCCTCGTAACCAAGGGTTGCCAGCTCCTTGTGCCAAACATTGACACTCTTCGAATTCTGCAAATTGCAGCAAAGGGAATACATCAATTGTAATACGCAAACCAGGATAGAGAGATTTCGCGCTACTTCTGATGCAGTGGTACGAGTAAGTGTGACGAATTGCAGCATCATATACGTCTGAAAATCATTCATGATATCCCAAGCATTAGGTCAACATGAAAGCCAGTCGGAGGGACTTGCAAAGACCTGATAACCTTCGTTTCGGAGTGACAAATTTCGAGTGACTACCACCGTGCTGCAATTACGTTCTATGACTATCAACGTCTAGCTCCAATCGAAAGCGTCCACACACAACCAATTTCACGCGATCTATACCTTCTAAATGCGCAAGCGTTGCAAGCAACCGTGTTGCATGTATCACCAAAGCACTACGCCACTAGGATTTTACACACGAATAAGCCACGCAGCCAGCACCGAAGGTCATGTAGAAGACAAAAACTCAGACCTATAGAAAGACAAGAAACAAAACCACATCATCCTGGACGGAGACAAACACGCGAACAGATTTGATGAGAATCGAAGAACCAAAGCGAGGGCACATTAGGAACCTGCTGCGACGTAGCCATTTGCTCGAGGTGATAACTCGACACCGTCCACGCTGCGATGCCTCAGGGTGTTGCGAGCCCGGCAGCGGTGTCGGCAGAGCGCACAAGGCTGGTCCCGGGTGAGTGAGGCGAGCTAGTCTTGGGTTAGGCGAGCTAGTCCCGGGTGAGTGAGGCGAGCTAGTCTCGGGTGATTAACGAGCGCTAGTCCCGGGTGAGCGGCCGCGCGCTAGTCTCGGGTGAGTGATGCGAGGGCAAGTCCCGGGTGAGTGAGGCTGTTGCTGGTAGCCCAGCGCGCCATGGTCCATGTGGTGGCGACGCAACGGATAGCTAGCTAGTCAGTTCGTTACCTTCCATTACTAAGCCACCGGTGACCTACTTCGCCTCCACATTGATTCTAGAATTTTCTCAAAGGAGCCACAATTTCCTTCACGCTCAAGCATGCTCGTAGTTGAATAGATGGTGATGTTTCAATTTCTAGCAAGCAAAAATAAACACACACACACACACACACACACACATATATATATATATATATATATATGTAGTTGAGGTTGAATTATATTAGTGGTGATTTTGTAATCTTGTGATTAATCTGCTTGTGATGAGGCATGTACGATTGTATTTGAAGATTGTGGATTTGTAACTTGTAATTTTGTATTTTTGATGTGTGAATGAACTGATGTTCTATCTTATATATGTGTTTTTGAAGCCTATTAAAATATAATCAAGGGGATTTTTATTTTTGCATTTGTATTAAAGATGTTTGTGGTTGTTGATTCTGTTTGTTGATTAAATTGACGAAATATAGATCCTATTGGTGGTTTAAAAAATTATATATTAAATAGAAGGTAATCAATTTTGTTGAAATTGATGTATAAAGGATCTTTTTTGTAAGAAATTGTAATAGTTGTTAAGATTATTATTGACGTTTTTTTTTTATAACTTTATTTAAGATTTTTTTTTTTTTTTTTTTTTTTAAATATATGATATTTCAATTTAGAAGGTTTTTGTTCTTTGGAGAAAAGGTGAGAGGCGAGAGTATTTAAATCCTTTGATTGGTAGAATTTTTTATAAAAAATCAGTTATTTTTATACTTAGAAAAATGAGTCCAAAATTCCTAACAAGAAAAGTTGAGATAGAATATATTTTGGTTGCTTTATGGCATAAATAATATTGTTTCCTAAGATTTTTAGTAGATCCACATTAGAAGGTGGTTTGTACACATGAAACAACTTAATTAAAATCTAAAACCTAAAATTAGAGTATGATTGATATATCAAAAAATAATGACAGATGATATTTAAATTATGATAGTAATTGATAGTAAATTACAAAGAGTTATCAAAAAAAATATTTTAAAGAAAATAGTTTGAAAAAACAAAAACAACAAAATTATTGCTATAAATCTCCATAAATTTAACAGTTTGAATGCCTCAAAATAGAAAAAAAAAAAAAAAAAATGAATAAATTCTCAACATCAATAAATAGATGAAAATGGATTAAAATCTATCAAAAAATTTGAAGAAAAAATAGAAGAAGATTAAATAGAGGTGGTTTAAATTCATATGTTTTGGTTTAAATTCATATGTTTTAGTTTAAATTTATATGTGTTAATGACAATGCAAATTTTATATGAAACTTGACTTTTTATTCAACTATGTATTATGTGCACAAGTACACAACCTTAGAAGAGTGTGGACTTGTTGCAACCTACCCCTTGTAATTCCAACCTGGATCACCACTTGTCAACCACAAGTATGGCTTGCCAACACCATTGCTTCACAACACAAAGTGTTTTCATTTCATGTCTATTTCCAGGTTTCCAAAAATCCCAACCAATATGCAGAGGTTTAAATTTGGGTGCCAAACACACAAAAGTCATGTGAACCTGGAAAATCAAAATTCAATTGAAGACTTGTGTTCTTGCTCTCAAGATCCTCTGAATGCCACAAACTTAGAACACAGCTATGGCTCAAACAGATATTATGTGTGAAGACATAGGGAATAGGAATCGAAACTTAATAAATGAAAAAAAAAATCTATATATATATATATATATATATGCACAATTTTTTTTTACTTAAGCATTCATAGCTGAAAGATACATTCAATTTGGCTTCTAGGTTTTAAATAAAAAATTCTTTTCTTTTTCCTTGAATAAGTTTTTTAAGTTGTAAGAACCCCACATCTCAACTCCCAGTCTTTCCATATTTTTCAAGAGTCTATTATTAAAGAGAGTTCCATTGTACAAATCTTTTGGGGCAGCTGAAGATTGTAACGAGAAACCCTAATCAGAGGGTGTTAGTAATAAACTCTAATCGGAGGAGGTTAGTAGTAATCGCCATGGCGGAGATTCCCTAGTCACATAATTTCAGCCTTCATTATGTCTTGATTCAGATCACCTAATTGCTCTTGCATTGGAAGCTGAAGAGGTTTTATGTTTAACTGCCTAGCAAATTTTCAATTCTAGCACACATGTGAAATTGTTGAGTCAGTTTCAAGCCCATAATGAAGCCTCCTTTTCAATATTTAAATTCTTTTGGATTTATGTGATTACTATTACAAAGTTTCTAATATAGTTTTGAACACAGATCATGGCACCACCTTCTTGAATCTAATTTTATATGTAATAACTCATTGGGTTCTACAATCTGTTTTTTATTTTTATGTTTATTTATTTTTGTTTGTAAATAAGTTCGTGAAAGTATTTTTATGTTAGTTATTTATTTGTATTTGTAAAATAAATTTTCAATTCAATATTTTTTTAATTATTAAAATAAATATTCTTAATTAAAGATTAAAAAATCAAACATCAATCTTAACTTGAATGATAAAGAAATAGATTGAATGTAAAAGTTCACTAATCAATAAAAATAGTCAAAAGAAAAATCAAATCATATATTAAATTTCAAGATTATCACATTTGATTAGAAACTAAATTTTTTATCTTATAATCATGTTAAAATGACCATTTAAATTATGTTACAATTTATTTCTAAATTCTTTGTTTGAACTAAAACATTTCTAATTAATGCAATAATCACCATGTTAAGGATATGAATTTAAAAAAAAGAAAAAAAAAATTAATACACTATTAGAGAGAAAGTAAGAAAAATAGAAATAGATAAAAAATAGAAATATACTAAAATGACTAATACCAAAAAACTAAAAAATCTTATTTTAGACTGAAAGAAATTAAAGGTATTCACAAGATTGAAGATGATCTCACTTTTGTCTCCATATATACTAACTACTAAAAAGACCTTATGAAAGTTCTATAAGAACTACAAGACTTATGGTCTAAGCATCAAGTTATAGATTATTCCCAATATAATTTCTTAGAAATAAGAATCTAATAGAATAAGTTTGAATAATCATGTATTATATCTTTAGGAATTTAAATATCTAATATGTATTTAAAAAACTTCTTTGAAAAATTAAAAAATATATCATATATATAACATGTTTATATATTTATTTATTTATTTTATTTACTTAAGTAATATAAGAATTTATTTTATTATATATCTTTTCAAAGACAAATTCTAAAGAAAGTAATAAAGTTGTTCTATAAATTGATAAAATCTAAGATTTGTTCAATACTATGTATAAATAATTAGGATTTATGTTATGCTCAAAAGTAGATGATCGATCCTATGAGCCATCAATAATATCATATATCAAAGTAAGAAGACCTCCTATTTGATTTGTTGTATTATATGTTTTCTTGTTTAAGAATGCACCAAACACTTGATTATAGAAGATAAACTTTTACTTTGCAACTAATAAAGAATTTAACAATTCTAATAAAATTTTAAAATAAACTTCAATTAAATCTTAAAAATTATAATAAAATCTTAATTAATTCCTAAAGAAATTTTTAAAAAATCCAAAAAAATTATAAAAAAATTATAAAGTATATTAAAAAAATACAAAGAATCTTTAAAATATCCTGAAGAAATACTAACAATATTCCAAATAAATCCTAATCAACCATAACCAGATCTTATAGCAATTTTAAAACCTCAATAAATAAAATTTTGATCTTATTTTTTTTTAAAAATCTATTAGCCAACAAAAAATATATAAAATTTAAAGAAAATCAAACTTACAAAATAGAATAAAAAGCTCCACATCTCCTTGGATGTTGGTCATTTTTTTTTTTTTCTAATCTTGATATTAATCTACCAATAATAATAGTTCCTTAATACATGATTCAATTTACTTCAAAAGTTTTAAATATGTTGCAAACTAAGTTTATTATTAGCTTAAATATATATATATATATATATATATATATATTTTCAATTCAATTAACATATTATTTAATATCATAGAAATCTTCTCTAATTTTTAAAATCCAATTTTGAGACCTTAATCTAATTGAATTTCCATAATTTTTTATTTTTTTATTTTAGTTGATTTTAAATTTACAAAGAACATTTAAAACAAATAGGTTTAAATACCACAAATCTTCACCTCTTGATCTGTTATAATGATTATAGAATCCTTCAAAATATAATTTTTTTTTTTATTTTATAAAACTTCAAATCACCTAAAACAACTCTAACTTTACATATCTCTTATAAAGTTAATATCTACTCAAATCACTCAAAATCCATGCTTAAATAAACTCTATGAATGGCCGAAATTCAAGTTTATTTCTTAAATTTGCTCTCCAATTATTAGAAATTTTTTACAATTATAATAGAAGCCCAATTTTTTATATCTTGAGATTTTGTCACGAACACAGAAATACAGACTCGAGATCTAACAAGAAGTTCAAGAAGAACTGGCAAGAACTAGATTAATCAGATGAATACAAGAACAACACCAGAGAAGTGAGCTAGAGCTCCAAGAGATGTGTTGTCGAGACTGAAGAACTCTTTAGCCTCGATTCCAATATATACTCCTATTTAGGAAGCTTCTTAAGCAACTTCTACCAACTAGGAAGCTTCTACAAGGTTCCAAAGACTTGCTTCTAGAAGGTTCTAGAAACTTATCTCTAGAAGGTTCTAAAGACTATGTTCCTAACATCTTCTACTAACTAAAAAGCTTCTAGAAGGTTCCAGAGACTTGCTTCTAGAAGGTTCTAGAAACTTGTCTCTAGAAGGTTCTAAGGACTATGTCCCTAACATCACCTCCTCCTTTAGCTTCGAGGTCTCTGAGAAGCAATGTTGTTGTTAATCAGTACCAACGCAAGAAAATAAAGATCTATTGCATAACGTCTGTTATGAACTCCAACTGTT